GAAATCTCATCCTTTAGAACCTAGCTATCAACCTCAACACAAAAATAACAAGAAAAAAAATTCAGTTTTTACGAACTCGAAAATCCAATGGTTCATCTTTTTCCTTTCTGAAAAATGCTCAATAGTAGAATCCAAAACTTTACATTAAGAAAATACCCTCGAGTAGGTCTTTTCCTTTATAATGTTCTAAAAACCTTAGTACAACACCGTAAGCAACCTTCCCTCAATACCATGCAAGGCATCATCTTTGAGAGAGAGAGACGTTCCACAACCACTACGACTTAGGTCGACAGACCAAATGAAAGTGAAATAGAGAGATTACAAATTTCTAGAGAGAGAGAACATTTTTCTAGTGAGATATTACAAATTTCTAGAGAGATGACAAATTTCTAGTGGGTGAGAGATTACAAATTTCTAGAGAGAGAGAGATTCCAAATCCTAAGATTTGTCACTTTGGCATCCCACAACGAAATCAAATTGCTTTTTAACTTTTTACATACAAATCACTATGCTCTTGCCTGTACAGTATGCTTCATGTATCCCTTCCTAATTTGAGAGAGAAGAAAATTGGGAAGACAGAGAAAGAGGGGTGGAGGCGTCATAAGAACAAGATCAAGATCTAGAGAGAGAGAGAGAGAGAGAGAGTGCCGATTTGAAAGAGACAGAAGACATAAAGAAAGGAGAGGAGAGGAGATAAAGAGAGAACGAGGCATCGATCAAAAGAAGATTAAGCAAAGCAAGGCAAAGCAAAAGAGGAAGGTCAAGATCCTAGAGAGAGACCTCTCATATCCAACCTCCCTTTCTCTCTCCTCTTCCCCCTCGCTCCCAAACCAATACAAACCATCAACGTCCCCAGTCGGCCCCACCACCCATGGCAGGGCCCCCATCACGATTCCGGCCAGTGATTCCACCATTGGGTACATGACACGTGGGGCGGTGCCCATCCCATAGTAACCTGGCCCCACCCTCGGGCCCGAGCCATAGTAGTCGGGTCCCACTCTCAATGCCGTGCCCGACCCATAATGATCATGCCTCAACCTCAGATCCAGCAGTGAATGGTCTGGCTCTGCAGGTCCAGGCCTCGGGCCGACAGGCCTCTCGGGTATGGACCCAAGCTGCTTCCTCGAGTGCGAAATGTCAGTTTTGCCCCTTCCGTAAAGGGGTATCAGATTTGACTGGGATAGAGCGGATTTACAGACGGGGCAATCTTGAGAATTAGAGTGTAGCTCGAGCCATTTGTAGATGCAGGGCCAGCAAAAGAGGTGGCCGCACAGGGTCACGACCGGGTCCTGGGCGAAGTCGAGGCATATGTTACAGTCGAAGCTGCTGCCGCCCCCCCTCAATTCCTCAGTGGCGAGTTTTTGGGTCGACATCGGATCATCAGTGGTGGTGGTGATCTTTTGGGGCGATGAGGATCCCTCGACGGCGATTTTTTGGAGCCGATCGGTGGCGACTGAGGCATGGCGGAGGGTGGGGCCCCGGGCCATCTGGTTGGTGCTATGTGACAAGTGGGGGTCTTATTTTTTTGGGGGTTCCGCTTTCTCCCGCTAGAAAATCGCTGCGTTCCAGGCAAAGGCAGTGAATTAGAATCCCCGTGAAGATAGAGAGGAGCGAGGGGCTTAGACGAATTTAAATGCCTATGGAAGGTCCAATGGTTTTAAAGACTGCAGTTCAATCTAAAACCATGGGGATCTCAAAACCGTGTGCTAGCATTACAGAGGCCAAGTCAGCCTCTGCAATTCTCACATAACAGCTTTTGCATGTTCTCTGATACTCATCGTTTCAGATTTTATCCCTCACATTAAAACTAAACAAAATAAGCACAAACGAGTAATAAACTAAACAAAATAAGCACAAACGAGTAATAAACTAAACAAAATAAGCACAAACGAGTAATAAGCACAAAGGAGGCAAAGGCAACAAAACAGAAAGAACACGGTTTATATGAGGGACACGGTTTCTATGTGGCCAGCCCGCAAATTGTAGAAATGCGGGCTCAGCAAATAATATTTTTTTAAAATATAATTTGATCCTAATTTTTAAAAGATATATAATCTATAACATGAAATCATGAACATGAAAAAAAAATTAAAAACTAAGAATAATAATTATATTAATAAAATATTTGAGCATTTAAGCACAATTGTTTTTAGATGGACTACCTATTTGCATCTATCTTTAAGATGAATGTTACGTACCTTTGGACCATATATTGTCGCCACACAGTCCTAGCATAAAACAATTTTTCTTATATGATGAGTTCATGTAGAAATGAGTCACCTCTTAAAAATCGATTTTTGAGATGGATTTTTTGACCTAAGTTTTAAGGATATGTAGTCTCTAAAATGGACAAATATGAAAAATTAAATAATTTTGAAAAATTAAAAATAATAATTCTTTAGAAAAGCATTTGGTCCAATAGCTTCAATTGGTTTTAGATAGACCATCTATTTGAATCCATCTTTAAGATGGATGCTTTAGATCTTGAGGACTGCCTATCTATTGCGGTCCTCGTAGCACGAAATAATTTTCCCAAAAAAATCACTTTAGTAATAAAATAGGCAGAAATGCGACAAAAGACTATAAGAAAAACTCACATTAATGCTAATAAAATAATGTGACAAGCTTTCTATACTTCCCCTTATCTAATGTAGAGTACTTATAGACTTCCCCTTATCTAGCCATTAGATCTGAATAAACAACTAAGATGGATTCAATTACAATGTCATGCCTCTACACTGTTTTATTTTTAATTTTTTTTTACAAAAGATTGACACCAAAGTTTGGGCGTCCACTCCTCTTAAATTCGCACATGCCAAAAATATTCTCAATAAAATAGAATAACCAAAATACCCCTAAAAGTTTGAGGTATATTTTAGTCATTTCATTTTACACGTACCAAATTTTACATAGAAAAAAAGTTAAAAATAAATTACACTTAGGAGTTGGATCTAGATTAAATAGTCAGGGGCTCACTTGACCTAAATTTTAGATAGATAAAAAGTTAAAAATAAAATACTCTTAGGAGTTGGATCTAGATTAAACATTCAGGGGCTCACTTGATCTAAAACGAACAGTATACAGTCAGGAACTATGCACGACTTTATGTTCAATCAATGACACATCCTCAACTACCTGAGTTCACATCGTATGCATTTCCTAAGATGAAATGAAGATTGTTTAGCATGAGGCTTAGCGTTAAAAAAAAGTAATATGACATTGAAAGCTCTTAATGATACACTATTTATTTTTAAAGCTTCAAATTAATGTGGGTTGGGCCAACCTAGCTTCAGCTCAGCCGGTGTAAACCCTGAGCCTAGACAGGGCTCAAGAGGACTAACCAAGGGACTAGACCCTATTCTAATGCACTTCATGGGAAAAGAAAAAGAAAAATTGTTTCATACGGGCTAGACCGCATTTCTACATATGCGATCCATAAAGTGTAAAGCATCCTCGTTAAAGATGGATGCAAGTAGGTGTTCCATTTGAAAAAACGATGGAAACTAACCGTCCAAATGCTTTTCTTATGGATGTACGCCTCCGCCCGTCGGCGGATGTACACCTTGGGCGGATGTACACCCACGACGGATGTACGTGGGCGGGCGTCCAGGGCACGCGCCACGACAGGGGCGTTGGGGTGGATGTACATTGAGGCGGATGTACCGGGGCGAGGGCGAGGGCGAGGGCGAGGGCGAGGGCTTGGGCCCGGGGCAGATGCACCAGAGCAAGCGCTTGGTGCATCCGAACCAAGGCGGGCGCCCTGAGCAGATGCACCTGGGAGGATGCAGTGCGGATGCACCTGGGCGGATGCCTTGGGCGAATGCACCTTGGGCAGATGCACCTGGGCGGATGTACCTGGGCGGGAGCCCTGGGCACCGCCCCAGGTATAGGGGGCGACCGGGCCCGGGGCAGATGCACCAGAGAGGGCACTTGGTGCATCCGCACCAGGGCGGGCGCCCTGGGCGGATGCACTTGGGAGGATGCAGTGCGAATGCACCTGGGCGGATGCACATTGGGCGAATGCACCTGGGCATGCGCCTTGGGCTGATGCACCTATCCGCCCAGGGCGGGCGCACCCCAGGCGGATGTACCAGGGCGCCTAGGGCAAATGTACTAGAGCGGCGTACATACCCGAGGGAGCGGGGCGGATGTACCGACCCCAGGTAGCGGATGTACCAGGATACCAAGGCGGCGTACATACCTGAGGGAGCGCCCCCTGTACATCCGCCCCTTGCGGATGTACCAGGGCGGCGTACATACAGGGGCGGATGTACCGACCCCACGTAGTGGATGTGCCAGGGACCTGAGGAGCGCCCCCTGTACATGCGCCCCCCACGGATGTACTAGGGCGGCGTACATACCTGAGGGAGCGCCCCCTGTACATCCGCCCCCGCCGCGGATGTACCAAGGCGGTGTACATACAGGGGCGGATGTACCGACCCCGCGTAGCGGATGCACGGATGTACTAGGGCGGCGTACATACCTGAGGGAGCGCCATGTACCCAAGGCGGATGTACCGCCTGAGGGAGAGGCCCCTGTACCCGGGGCGGATGTACCGGCCCCATGTAGCGGACTACCAGGGTAGCGTACATACCTGAGGGAATGCCCCCTATACCAGGGGATGTACCAGGGGTGACGTACGTACTTGAGGGAGCGCCCTCTGTACCCGGGGCAGATGTACCTGTACCCCGGGCGGATGTACCAGGGCGGCGTACATACCTGAGGGAGCACCCTACTTGGGCCCCCTGTACTCAGGGTGGATGTACCGGGGCGGATGGGGCGAATGTACCTGAGGAAGCGCCCCTTGTACCCGAACACGGATGTACCAGGGCGGCGTACATACCTGAGGGAGCGTCCCCACGTAGCAGATGTACACGTACACGTACTTGCGCACGTACAGGAAGGCCCCGGGGGGATGTACCAAGACAGGCACCCGGGGCGCATGTACCTGGGCAGGCGCCCAGGGTGCATGCGCCTGGCGGGTAGATGGGGGCGCGGAACATCAACCCCCGGGCGGGGGCCCCCAAAATTCTAAAACTATCGAAAGGCTGCCCCCCAAGTTCTAAAAATATTGGAAGAGATAGAATCGGACCAGCAAGAGAAGTTGGAGTAGCCTGAGAAAATTGAGGATGAAGCAAAGGAAATGGAGGTGGACTCAGAGGAGCAGCCGAAAAAGAAGGCCGAAGAGGTACCAGAGCAAATGGAGGAGGAGACGGAGGCGCCCGCCCGCGGTGGATGTACCAAGGTGGGCGCCGGGGGCGACAGGAGTACCAGGGTGGGTGCCCGAGGAGTGGGCGGATGTACTAGGGCGGGCGCCTGGGGCGGCGAATGTACCTGGGCCGGCAGGCACAAGGGGTGGCGGATGTACCTGGGCGGGCGGGCGCTTAGGGTGTACATAAAGGGAGCGCCTTAGGCGAAATGTACCTGGGCGAGCGCCCGAGGTGTACATACGTAAAGGGAGAGCCTTGGGAGATGCCCGACGTGGGCGCTCGAGGTGTACATACGTAAAGGGGCACCCAGGTTGCAGATGTACCAGGGGGGCGCCTGGGGCGGCGGATGTACCAGGGCCGGCGCCGGGGATGTACAAAGGGGCCCGGGGTGTACAAAGGGGACCCGAGGTGTACAAAGGGGCGCCCGCGCCTAGGGTGTACGCCCAGAGCGAGCGCCTTGGGCAGGAGTCCGGGGCGACGGATGTACCTGGGTGGGGAGGCAGATGTACTACCTGGGCATGCGCCTGGGGTGTACATACATAAAGGGCGCGGCTTGGGAGGGCGCCGCCGGCGCCCGGGGTCTATATACGTAAATACGTAAAGGGGGGGCACCCGCGCTCAAGGTGTACATACGTAAAGGGAGCGCTCCCGGGGCGGCGAATGTACCTGGGCGGGCTCCCGAGGTGTACATATGTAAAGGGAGCGCCCGCCTTGGGAGGGCGCCTGATGTACTTGGGCAGGCGCCCGGGGTGTACATATGTAAAGGGAGCGCCCGCCTTGCGAGGGCGCCAGATGTACTTGGGCAGGCGCCCGAGGTGTACATACGTAAAAGGAGCGCCTTGGGTGGGCGCCCACGTACATAACTGATACCTGAGGGAGCACCCACGTACATATCTGAAGGAGTACAGGGGGCACTCGGGGCGAATGTACGGTGTACATAGCACCCCCACCCACGTACACCCCCACGGAAGTACAAGGGGCGCCCGGGGCGGATACCACCCCATAGCACCCCACCCACATACAGGGGGCACCCGAGGCGGATACCAGATGTACCAGGGCGCATATGTACATACTTAAAGCAGCAGGTACAGGGGAGCCCGGGGCGGATACCAGATGTACCAGGGCACATAGGTACATACTTGCTCTGGTAGAGCAGGTACGTACATACCTGCTCCCACTCCCTCAGGAACAGGGGAGCTCGGGGCAGATACCAGATGTACTAAGGCACATACGTACATACCTGCTCCTGCTCCCTCAGGTATAGGAGAGCCCGGGGCGGATACCAGATGTACCAGGGCACGTACATACATAGATAACTGCTCCTGCTCCCTCAAGTACATGGGAGCCC